GGTCGTACCAGCCCCTGAAAAAAAGGGAGGGGGCCGTAAAAGCTCTACCAAAATCCCCATCGAATGCTGTGCCCTGTTCTGGCTGCTTTACCATTTATGACAGTGTCAGTGTATGACAGTGTTATGTTCTTCGGCGGGTCTTCTGTTATTATGGCTAAGTGTGGGCCAGACAGCGAGATGGCTCAATCTAAAGAGGAAGGACGGCATGGGCATCTTTGTCACTCGGTTTCGCGCACTGAAAGTGATGCATGGCACTGTTCCTCCAGACCAAGCTATTCGCTCGCGGAGGTGAAGACCTTCCAGCTAATTGCGGAGCGTGCCATTATAATGTTGAATGCATTGTAAATGTAACAAACAAAATACCCGAAAGAAGGGTTGCTATCTAACAAATCTATAAATCAACATTACTGCCCTCCAAACTCACTTTGCCGTGAGGCTTCTGTTTCTTGTTGCAGCGTTAGAATTATTTTGAAAGAGTGAATTCTACGAACGCTCTTTTCTTTGTTTTCATGCTTCAATGCGGTAATCATATGACGTTGCATAAAAGGCTCGTATTCAAGTCCAATCCAAAAAATGCTAAAAAAGATACTAGGCAGTATGTGGTTGCACCCAGCCCCAAAAAATTTATTTCCAATAGCAACGATGTGACGACAGCCATTATTTCAGTCCGATGACAAGGTGATGGACAACGTTCGCTAAGGTCATGAGAAGTTTTTGCTTAGAACTACTTCTAGCCTTTGCCACGGAATCTCCATTTACAGGATTTCAGCTTGTTTGCGCGGGTATGTGACAAGAGAATCGTAATTCGCCGCGCTGTGGGCGTCGCGTGCGACGTCGCGCCCGCAATGACGATGGTTACAGGTAGTAGATGGCGACAACAGGCAATTCAGAACCGAAAATGGTCATGAATGTCTACGATGACGGGGTCTACATGAAGTTCGGTGCTCCAATCGACAGGTTAATACGTTAAGAAAACGGGAGCGGCAAATAGCGATTCTCTTGCCCGTCTCCCTGTTTGCGCAATATTGTAGATCACACTGCGGTGAATTTAAATCTTTTCGATCATTTCGAGTGGACTTTGCGTCTACACCGACCTCTCTCAGCCAGAGATTGTCAGAACGTAGACAGCAGTTGCGGACAGTAACAAACGTAGTCGCGACGGGATTCCTGGCACTTGCCTTCTTCATAGGAAATTACCCAACCGAAAAGAGATCATGAAGTGGCATTGACCGAATTCA